GGGCTGCAGGGACGCGGCTGCTGCAAAAGCCACGAGCCCCAGGACGAAGCCAAGTCTGGAGCACGTTACAGTGCCCAGCACCCTCCGAGGGCTGCCCTGGTCCCCTGCCACCCGGCGTGACGCTTCGCCGTGTGACGCTGGGGATGGGGGCACGGAGGTGACGCAGCTCCAGCGGCAGAGACTGGATAGATTTCATCAAAACGCCACAGGAGTCTTGACTAAAAAACCCACTACAAGCTGGGATTTACGCCTCCCACATCACTGGAGCTGCCTGTTGTGCCAGAGTAATAAAAACGGGCACCTTCCCGTCAACCCCTTGCACCGCAGACCTTTAACGAGCTGCAGCTATCCTAACCCAGCAGAGAAATTAACTCTTTTTGATTGAGCAGCGGGCAGAGGTTGGAAGTGGTTTTGTGGTGCTGAGGAGCAGCTTCACTCCCACTTATTTTCTTCCTGCCTCTGGAAATTAAAATCTCTGCTCTGGTGCAGAAAGCACCCTGTCCCCGGTGAGGCCCCGGGAAGGGGCACGCTCCGCCGGGGCGAGGGACAGACGCGACTGCCACGGTGACAACCGCGCAGAGATGGGTCCACCCGGCAAACGAGCCTGTTTCCCAAAACCACCCTGCAGCGTTGGCTGCCCGCGGCCCCGCGGAGCATCCCCCCGTGCCAAGGCCCGCGGCGCCCCCCCGGCACCCGGCTCCCCTCACCCATCAGGATGCAAAGGTGGCAGAAGAGACACGAGGGGAGCACCTCAATCCTTAAACCTGGCAGCGCCAATTTGCTTGCAGCAAGTTTTCCAGGCTGGGCCGTAACTATACCCCGCGTAAATTTGCTGCCGCAGTGAATCCGTCCCCTCTTCTAAGGCGCAAAGAGCAAAGGTTATCTGCGCGTCCTCTGGTGCCTCGCAGGCAGACCCACCTTCAGAGCGGTGCTCAGCGCTCCTCGCGCCCTGCTGGGAAGCGGCGACGGGTCGAGACACCAACGGGAGCCCGGGACAACTGCCCGGAGCCGCCCGTCAGCACCCGCCG